GCATACAAGTATAGACTAAATCACTCAATTTGGAACAAAACATCTCATGCTTGTTTTTCGAAAATGGTTTGAATTTGCCACCCTCAAGTGGGCTTAGAAATGCGGATTTGCCACCAAACAAGGTGGGCTTCAAACATGATGATTTGCCACTCCAACTGGGCTTAAAACTCACATTTTGATGAATTGTTCCAATTCAAGTAATGAAACCTTCAGCCACAGGCATTCATGCAGTTAATCATTTAAGCACATAGCCTCATGGCAAGCATGCTATCATGGTAGTCACTTACACACATGCAAGGATGCTAAAGCGTAAACACTTATAGTGTACTCCCAGTCAAAACAGAAGCCAATTAGAAATCAATGTATGATCCTAACTATGTTCAGTGCCTAATGCAACACATGCAAAAATGCAACTAAAATAGGCTCGGCTATCTAAGATGGCATATGAATGCAACACTTGATAACATGCTTTGAAACACGTATTCAAGAAAGTGTATTGAAATACAATGCAGTTTGAATGATGTGCCGAGCCCGGTGCATGCAAGACAAATGAATGATGTACGCAAGCAAAGCACAAGGTATGCTAATTGAAATATGCCCTAATCTAACCACCGAAAGCGGATAAATAAAAGGAAAAAAGACGTGGGGTTGGAAGACATGCACACACACACGCACCCTTATTACATCATTTGCCCTCTCGACGGAGGGTCTGAATGAATAAGCTAAGCTAATCTAAGGTAAGCTAACTAACTAATCTAATTAGACTAATTAGACTAATTACTACAAAACAAATTGAACAACTAGTAAACTACTTACTAATTATTACAATACTTTAACTAATTAGCAAATTAATTAATTAATTACAAATTCAATGCTAACTAACAAGTAAAGCATTAAATTAAACTACTTCAGCTCTGATTGAAGATGTTGGACATGCATGCACGCATTTGGTTTCTCGCCCCGAAAAGCCTTCCGGTTTGCTCTTTAGAGGCTCTGTTTGCAAGGTGTCTTCAAGATCTTTCTTTCTGCTGAACCTTACCAAATCAAGGCTGGGGAGTACACCGGTCGCCTGCCAGCTATGAGGAGCTGCTGCCGGCCACCTGCCGACCAAAGAGGGGACTCTGCTGGCCAACAATGCAAGGGTGCCGGCCATCAATGTGGCACTGCCGGCCACTGGTGTGCTGTGACACCAAACTGCAACAGAGCATAAAACAAAGAAAATGGAGGGTCTCCCAAGGGCATGTATGTACTGTGCCACTCCTTATCATCTCAAAACATCAAAGGAGAGGCACTATTGGATCCAAAACAATCAATCAAGCATGCAATGCATGATGGCTAAAGATCCAACTTGCACACATTCAATAAATGCACGACAAACAAGACACTAGGACCACGGCCTTATCATGAGTGATCAAAGGCAATGGAGACAAAGAGAATTGACTCATTTTCATCACTTCAAGAATGAAATGAACTAATTCATCTTGTGTTCAATATAACGTCCGATTGAACACAATGCAATGCAAATGCAACATGCCTATCTTGACATGTTTTACTCGATCAATTCTTGTTTACACATTTTATATTACCGAGTCATTCATTAACTGGTTAAGTCCAATGTGAAAGTTCTCTAATGGGAAAGATGGCCTCAACCATAAGCACCTTGAGCATGAAAGAAGCCTCATGCTTTTGGTTAGTAGAAACCCTCAAGAGAAGGCTAAAACCATTAGGCATGAGAGCCTCAATTCCATGCTCAAGCTAACAAGGGGCTTAAGACTACTTTCAAAGAAAATGAAAGAGTGAAGCATGGAGTGCAATGGCATATATTTCAGCACTGAAATAACATGCTAAATGACTTAAAATCATGCAAACAAACCATGCACAACTTGTTAAGAGTCAAAAGCATTGAAACTAGTGAAGGACACAACACTAGAGGTATGCAATACAAAGCTCAAATGACCAAACCAGCTCAAAACAGAGCTACATCATGCCAAAACAGTGGCCTAAACATGCTGGAATTGAAGCACAAAAGGCAAGAAAAGCATGCTCACTTATTGGTTCACAAACAAGGCATCAAACCACAACTCTCAAAAGCAATGAAATAGTGATATATGTGAGAGTGTGACAGAGGTATATGCTCTGAAATTACATGCTAAATGATGCTATGGCATGCAAACAACACAAGCAAAGCATGTTGGAGGCCTTAAAGCAATGGACTAGTGAAGGCATTTGCACTATAGCTATACAATACAAGGCTCAAAAGGCCAAGACCACTCAAAACAGTCCTAAAGCATACTAAATTAGAGCCAAAAACATGCTGGAGTGGAGCATACACATGCTAGATTAATAGGCCAAACCATCAAGTACATTAGGCTAGTGAACAAAATTGCACTACACATGCATGATACAAGCAACCAATGACTAAACAAGCCTAAAAAAGAGTTATAGTAGGTCCAAAAAGTCACAAAAACATGCTCGAACCAAGCCTCAAAAGGGGAGAAATGCATGCTCATTTGGTAGGCCATCACCACATGCAAACAAGACAAGAGGAGAGGGGACCACCCCCTGGAAATTGGAGAGAAGATCTGAAGGAAGCAATCTTTTTTTGATCTGATGATAAGTATACACATGTCCTCAGATCCTTCGACAGAGTAGCTTTGGTCGGCGGAGCAAATCTAGTTAGCGGAGATAGAGATCGAAGACGACAAAGCAAATCTGGTATGCGAAGCAGATTTTTAGTGTGTGATCGAACCAAAGGTATTGGAGCGACGGCAGCGGAAGAGGAGATCGAAGACGGCGGTGACTAGGGGTGTTCGCGGTTTAGATTTGGACCGTTTGCGGATCGGTTTGGACCCGCCCGCATCTATGCGATTTGGGGAAAAGACAACCCGCAACGGCCCGCGGTGTGGTTTGCGGTTTGTGCAAATAAGGTTCGCAGATGTATGGACGGCTTTGTAGATTGGACTTTTTTCTTCAAAAAATTTTTTTGAGCCTTATTTTTTTCTCATTTTATAAATATTTATTTTGGGCCATTTTCTTCCCATTTTCTAAAATGCTCCAACATTAATTATTAATGAATTAAAATTTATAAAATTAAAAACCCAAAAAATCAATTCGTGACACAAGCAAATCATTCAAAATCTTAAATCAAATCATAAATTAACACAAGCATATATTTCAAAATCCTAAACTAGAACTTCATATTCATTAAGGAATTTAAAATTCTAAATCACAATTTATCTGGGACAAGTTCAGTTATGTAACAATAATAATATGATCAGTATTTATTCAATTTCAATTGATGTAATACTATTAGCAAATGTAATGCTAGCGTAAATTCAAAGAATAAAAGGTGTTTTGTTTTGAGCAAACATATCTAGGTTGGATATAGGAATGAAATCAACGGTTAAGATAAAAAAAAAAAATTAAAACAAGAAGTGCGGGCGGTTTCTTGCGGGTGTGGGTTAAACCCGCTCGCAACCCGCAAACATGCCATATTTCAAACCGCATCCACCCACATTGTGTTTGCGAAACTGTCCATTTGTATACGGGTCAGACAGTTTTTGCGTATCGGATAAACCGTTGCCCACCCCTAGTAGTGACGGATGGTCTTCTAGATCTCCGCTGCAACAGCGGATCCATGCTGGCGACGGGCGACAGTGAGGACCGATTCGAGTTCATGACCAATGTCGAAAAAGAGATATCGGAAGGAAGAGATTGAGTGGAGAAATCGGTGGCGGTGGCTAGCTTGGCGACAGTATAAAAGGCAACAAAAAGAGAGAGAGAGAGAGAGTGATTGATTGTTGTTTTCAATTAGTTTTTTTTTTTATTTGTTAATAAATTTAAGAGTAAAATTTAACTCTCATTCGTTTATTTTCGTTTATTTAATGAGCAAATTACAAACACCCCCCTCGAGATTTGGTGAAAATACAAAATTCCCCCTGAAGTTTGAGAAATTACAAATTGCCCCCTGAAGATCAAATTTGCATAACAAATTAGGGGAGAATTTGTATGAAAATAAAAACTTCAGGGGGCAATTTGTTATGAAAATATAAACCTCAGGGGACGGGATGTAATTTCTCAAATCTCAGGGAAAAATCTATATTTTCACCAAACTTCAAGGGGGTGTTTGTAATTTACCCTTTATTTTTTGTAGCAGTAAAAATTTACTCTGGTTAAAAACATGTTGATTTGCTTAACAATATAAAATTTTACTTTGAATTATAGTAAATTTTACTCTGATTTAGAGTAAAATTGTATTTTACTCTAAATCAGAGTAAGGTTTATTATGATTCAGAATAAAATTTTACCTTATTTTAGAGTAAAATTTTACTATGTTGTTGAATGGTAGTCTATGACTGTGTTGAAACTGTAGTTTTACAGTAAAATTTTAGATTCAGAGAGTAAAATTTTACTTTTATTTAGAGTAAAATTTTAGTTTGCATCAGAGTAAAGTTAACTATGATTCAAAGCAAAATTTCACTCTGAAATACACTGTACAGATGACTTAATAGAAAAGCTGATAGATATGAGGGTAGTATAGTAAAATAAACAAATTTTAAAATATTAAGAGGTTTTGAAAGTACTTATATAATTTTTGTACTTTTGAAAGACAAATTAGATAGTGAGAGTCTATTACCAAATCCCCCATAAATAAATAAAAACTTAAGCCTCGTTGACATGCAACACTTTTAACATAAAAATCAAAAAAATTACTAAAAAAATAAAAAAGCCTAAAACGTATCCTAAAAAATCAAAAATTTCTTTCTCTTTATTTTTTGCTCATATTTTCATAAAAAATTAAAAAGTCATTCCAAACATCCTAATTTTTTTAATCTCATATTTTAGCCAAAAAATCAAAAATTACTAAAATAGCATATTCCCAAACGAGGCCTTAGAATACTCTATCCTCACTTTTAAATATCACATTAAAATTTTAGTTTAAAACATTGGATATGAATAAGAGAAAAATCCAAGCATTGATTAATAACGAGAAAACTAGATACAAAAAACAAAAGGTTGATTTTATACAAAAACAAAATAATTTTTATAATTTTACTTGCCACTAAAACTGCACATACATACCTTTGACCTGACTGCTTCTATAGATAAGGCGGATCATCCTTGGCTCAGCATTACAGCACATAGGCCATGCAGAGCCACAGTGCTTATCACACAATGTGACCATCTCTATGACCTGGCCGGGCAATAATATGAATAAGATAGTCATTCCCAACAAACTTTCAAAGCATCGACTAGTCTGCCATTTCAGTCATAACAATTCTGTTGAAGCCTATTCCAACCAAACATCACAAAACAACCTCACAATCCCCACACAATCCATGTATGAATGTATGTATATGTTTAGGTAGTCTATAATATTTCTCAAATGAAATCTATTACAGCTTTACGGGAGAATTCAAGCTAAATCAACTCCAGAAATAGGGCTTCTTGCTTGCTGGTCAAGCCTAGTTCTTTCAAAGTCGAAGCACACTCTCCATCACTAAAAGCACGCCGAGGGTATGGCCTCACCTAAACAATAAGAACAACAATCAGAGAAATTAAAACTTGTTCACAGCTCTTTTACATCTTCCATTCAAATCCCTTCTTTTTCAACTTATCATAAAAAAGAAAAAAACAGAAAAGAGAAGAACATTGTATTCAAGATTATAGCATAATATACATTGACACTTTCACTGTAAATGCTCAGGAAAGTACTTCTACCAGGTTTTTAAGTTTAGTTGAAACTAGAAATTAGAATTTAATTTGCTCTGCAAAGACATGACAAATAATGACCCCGAGTCTTATTAAATGGTTAATTTCTAGTCTACCCGTGCAAGAACAACAAAAATTGTTACAACATCTAAAATTGTTCAGTTTTGTCTATATTCTGTAAATGGTCAATTATGGTTAGTTTCTAACCTAGAGAACTTAGAAAGTTCAACCAGAATGCAACCAGGAATTCTGAAAGAATTTGGCCTATAGTCACACTAGGTCTACTGAGTTTCAAGTTGACTTGGAGGCTTCTGAAATAGTTTATATTTCTCAAATGCCAACAGAGCACAAAAAATCCATTTCACCATGCAAACCAAACAGATAATGCAACTGTCGGCTATAATCTTAAAAATATTACTAGGAAATCATACACAGAAGATTACTTACCAATCTATAAGTCCCGGGCTTGACCCCTCTACCAACATCAATGAAGTCAAAAAGGGACTGCAAAGTAAATCTCCATACATAAGAATGTGACAAGTGACTACTTAATGCAAATCAAGTCTTCCCCACAAACTATACCTGTAGTTTGTCGGACTTCAGAAATCGACGACCACGACGGCTTCCATCTGGCATCCGCACAAGAAGAGTTACAGCACTCTCATCATCTGATGTTGGTTCTTGAGGAAGGGAAACTTCCTTTGCCGCTAGTTGCCTCTCCATCTCCTGCAGTAAAAATACTCCAAGGATGAAGATGAAAACTCTAAACATAAAAAAGGAGTGCGTCTTCCCCATTTAAGGACAACATTAGCAAGCATTAAATAGTGAAACAGAAAATGTGCTCAATCTCCAAAACAAAATGATCATTGAATATCATTGTGATACACCAATCCTGCTAGTTTTACAATTACAATACTTGTATTTACTTGGGAAGAGTAATGCTCTAGGCACAGCTGTAGCAAACGATTGTAGACTTTGCTTTGAGGGCTGTCATGTGCTTGGTTGTTCCAAAAAGGCCAGTCAAATGTGTGTAGAGTACAATGCATTAGAGTCATATATCAGTAAAGGTATTCCAAAACTGACGTGATTAGAAGTGCAAGGGTAAGAATGCACAGTAAACATTTTTAGACTATAGTTCATTGTTCTTATCAAAAAATTTTATAGTGTTTAAATCTCAGATGGCATCAATTAATTTTTCAGTACTTAGAATTCAGTGATTTGAAGTTTTCAGCAATTAAAAATTCAGTACTTATTTGTTAGTTTTATCAAACAGGCCTAGGTCTATATTCACTTATCAAGTTAGTAATTATTATGCAAGGTGTAACGGGAAAAAAAAAAAAACTAACAAAAGAAACGACCCATGAGCAGTTCCACATCATCTGGTGCTGCCACTGAGAGGAGAATTTTCTAATTATATTACCTGTTCTTCTTCCAACTTTCTACGCAATTTTTCCTCCTCCAGCTTTTTTTCTTCAAGAGCAGCTTCTCTAGCTGCTTGCTCTTTCAAACGCCGAGCTTCAGCTTCTTCAATTGCCTTCAGTTCTTTTTCTCTATCAGCTCGCAGCGATGCAAGATATTCATCATCCTACAAAGTAACGAAGTAGAATTAATGACCACTATATGATAATTTAATCATAATTAGAAAACAACACATTAATGTGGGTTTGGGAGGGGAAAGATTGGTTCAATGGTAAAACCTTGGCCTAAAGTTATGGGTTGCTGGCTTAAAATACAAACCTGTTGTTCCCTAATTGAGCGCTGAGCAGCAAGACCTGGTGAGGGGGGTCGAGGCATTCGCTGGGGGTAATAGCCCAAAGTTCTATCTAAACCATTCTGCATGAACTGATAAGGTGCATAGGAGGAAGGATATCCATTTCCTTCAGGGACTCCACCAAAGAGTGCAGCCTCAAGCATAATTGCTTCATCATGTTCCTCAGATGAGATGCCTCCCCACTTGAAAGCAATAAATACAAAAGTTTTTAAAATAATAATAATAATATTTAATTTTTTGCTCAACATTGTCACAGACGTGATTTGGAATTACTGTGCGGAATTCATACTATACAACAAACTACCTCATCAGAATGCTGTGGATGATTAATATTTTCATGTTGTCCAGGACTTGATGGTGATCTAACCTCAACTTCTCCAATTTCTTTGCCAGAGTCAACAACAGCAGAAGGCACAAGCCTACTCGTGTTCCCAACCAGTGGCTGCCCTTCCACACCATCAGCAACATCTTGAATAGATGAGTTTCCCACCTCCAACCTAGATTGTCTCGAAGTATGCTTGTCAGAAGAACCAAACACTTGCATCCAACATTAAACACACACACATGCCCAAAAAATGTACAAATAGAATTTACCGGCATGTAAATGGTGTGTGTCATGATAGTAAGTGGCAACAATAGGCATATACCTTCCACTTGATGATGGCATTTTCCCCTTATCAACCATCTCAGTTGAATTGTAAGCTTCCAGTTCTGATGCTCCAACTGTCTCCCCCAGTTCACGCAAAGCTTTCTCTTCCTCCGCCGTCTTTAAATTCAATTCATGTAAGACAGTTGCAAAGGGTGACAATACAAGGGTACCACTATATAATAAAACCACAAACCTTCAATGACAATGAAACTGCATGTGCAAGCTCAGCATCCGCTACGCGAGACTGAGTTTGTTGGGTACGAGGATTACTCAAGTCCTACATCAAAATGAAAATGCGTCAAATATTAAAACTGATGGAGGATACAGAAGCATGCCTCTTAGGCCATGTTTGATTCACAAGACTAATACTGAAGGTATTAATAATTCCATTAAATTAGTGTGGTATTCACTATTTAATTGGATTAGTAGGATAAATTATCCCCTTATCCATTGTTTGATTTGCATTGGATTAGAAAGTAAAAGAGTCTTTTTATTTTATTTCCCAGTTTAGGATATATAATCCCACCCCTACCCCATTACTAATAATCCTACAAATTTGTTGGATTAATTATCTATTATATTAATAATCCTGAAACAAAATTTCAAAACAGACACAGGATTAGGGCCCATGGATTAATAATCTCAATCCCATATTCTAATCCTGTTAATCAAACATGCCCTTAAGGCATTAAAATTTTACATACATCATGAGCACCAAATTGTTGATCCAGGTAAACTTCTCCAACCTCCCTTTTTGAAGCCTCAATAGCAGCTCGAACCATTTCTTCTTCTATGTCATTGTGGTAGTCAGGCAAATCATCAATCCCATGAAAACCTGATCTAGGATAAGTGCCATAAGAACTATTACCCAACAAATCATCAATTGGTTCATTCTGTCCAACAGTACATCCAGAGGTAGCAGTTGGAATATCGTCATCATCAATTATGACAGGCCCATGGCTTTCACGGCCATGTGCATGTGCAGTTCCAGTGACATCACCTATGGCAGGAGAGAGGACAGAATGACCTGATTGGTCACTCCCATCCTTGACCTCAACAGGAATCTCCCTTACTTCTCTTGGATGCGAAACAACTGGTGCACGGCTTGAAAAATCAGGACCACCATCAAACAAACTTCTACTGAAGTTAGGATCAAGAACAGAGAACAGATTAAAATTTCTAGTATTAGATAAAAGTGAGAAAGGAGGTCCCCGGGACCCAACTTGGATAGGTTCATCTATGTCCATGGCATCATTGTGAGAAGCAGCAGTAGATGTGCCATGTATGCTGAACATGGAAGAACAAACAGTATTATCAATGTTAGAAAAAGAAGCATGGACACAATCAAAAAGATTTCGTCAATTCATGAGAAAAGTAAAGCAAAAAGAAAATGTTAGCAAAATCGCACAAGCAAACACTGACGTGTTTCTTTCTCCTCCATTGAAATGTGCATTAACAGCTTCATTGAGATCTCCATTATGCTCCTTACACCATAAAGAAACAACCGTCAGATTTGAGGTTTAAGAAAATAGAGGACAGAATTTTCAAAATAAAGTTCGCAAAAGAAACCTACTCAATTGCACCACTAAATGCATATAAAATTAGAACAACAAACATCCTCAAAATCAGACTCTGCATTCATTACTAACGGTGCAAAAAGAAGATGCACAACAGACAATAGAAATGGATCACTATATAACGAATATATGAATGTTGGAATCTTAAAATATGCAGCTGCAATCCTTTCTTTCTATAGTAAAAACTCACATTCTCCTCTCTTTTTTTCCGGATAAGTTATTGGCTATGAGAATTATGATGCATTCAGACTGAAGGAAGCTAAATAAGTTAAACACATTCTCAAATTAAAAAGCACACTTAAGCTCCATGAAGATACTGGGTACACATAAATTAATACTTCAATTCATTGACCTTAGCTGCTTCTCCCAATTGATTCAAAGGATTATTATATTCATACAGAAACACTGTTTATCAGCATTTAATAAAAACACACAAAAAGCATATACCCAAATTTTCAGCTCTAATTCTGGACACTAGATTATGGACCATCCAAATATTTGCCAAGAATTGATTGCAGTGGTAGAAATACTATGAAGGTACCATTTGCAACAAAAAGAAAATTTATTCTTTATCATAACAAATATGTGAATCTAGTTTATACATAGATCACCTGGGCTGCTTTGTATGCCACAGCCTTTTATATAGAATGAGTAACAGTAATAACTCTACTTTTGTAAAGCACAAGACATTCCATGTGGAATGATGAGTGCCAAGTGAGAAGTTAATGCATGTGAAATCTGCTTCAAAAATATCAGAAACACATTTTTTCATTCACAAGGTTAAGAGAGACACTCTTAGGTGATAGCTGAAGGTATAGATGAAGCCACCCAAATAATCCAGTGACTCTTTGCTCACTTAGCAAGAATGTTTTCAAAATTAAAGTCAATATGCCTTTTTCTTACTCAACACAAATGATATAGAACAAAACCCATGGATATGCTACGGGACATTTCAAGTATGATAATTGTGTCGATAGAGATTTGGGTGGTGTATGACCTATGGATATGCTACAGGACATTTCAAGTATGACCATTGGTTCAATGGTAAAATCTTGGCCTAATAACCTTCAGGTTATGGATTTAAGTCTCAGGGCAACCACTTTGTATACTATGCCAAAAGTTAGGTGTGTATGTACCCAATCTTTCCCCTTCCAAATACACATTAATGTATACTATTTGGGTGTTGTATAACTCAGGTGAATCTAATTGAAAAACACTAAATGTCTTGAATTGTTAACAAGTACATGAATTTTTTAGATTGAAAAAATCGATAGGCAACCATTGCACCAATATAGAAAAACAACACTTTTTGCACTGAGGGTCATGCTAAAAATAGAAAAATCAAACTCAATATGGGTTAAGATATCAAAAGAAAACATGGTCACTTAGGGTTTAACTGATGCTTTAGACCTTAATAGAGCCAAATGGGAAATAGGATTATAAAGGCACCTCAAACAAGCTGGGACAATGTATCATTGAGTTGACATGTAGTAAAAAAGAAAACTGGCATTTAAAGATAAATGTAAGTTTTTGTCTAGGTGCGATTTACTATGGGACTATGTGATCGCTTCAAGTTTTTTTTACTACATGTTTTCTAAAATTATATCAAAATCTTACAATTCAATATTTGATTTGATTCATGATTCATAAAAGTAAACTTTGATTCATGATTTGAATCTTGATTTAACAGCTATGGTAATTTCTTTTATTGTACGTCATAAATTCAGGCATGTCCAACCAATATCAAGTTTATTTAGTACCAAAATACCAAGGAAACAGAATGGGACATTTAAAAAATAGTGAAAATTTCATTTTACCACCCATGCGGTACAGGTCCGGGGCACTTATCCTAAATTTTAAAAATAACCACAAACCCCCAAGTGATTTTGGACTAAATTACAACATGAACTTCGTTAGTATTAGTGATGAAAAGACAATTATATATACCTTTGTCTTCTTTCTCTAATTTTCATTACCTTTCTGAAAAAAGAAAAATCAGACTTACCTTCATAACCACAACTAGCAAAGCAATAATTTTTAAAAATAAAATCCTAAATTAAATTTCAATTAAGAAACTTGATTTTCTCTAATTTCTAAAATTTCACAACAAAATTTTGTGCGATTTCCCCCCCTTCAAAACTTTGATATGATGGATTAACAATATGATAGTTCAACTAGTGCTGATACTTCAAATATATATAATTCAACTAGTGATGACCAATTGACCCGTCGGTCATCTGTCCCTTAATGGTTAATGCCCGATCCATATCTAATAACTTTTGTCACAAACAATTATGTGTAGTGCATGTTCTCACTTATTTGTGTATATTGATTCATTTATCTTATAATCACCTTCTTGCCAAGGTTTTTCAGTGCAATCTAAGTACCAAGAGCATGCTTCTTTTGAGTATGTTGTTATAGAAAAAAAATAATAAATAAATCAATCATATAAGCCCTATGAGTGAACTATACCCCTTACTCTAGTGCTCAACCATTGTTACAACCCCATTCTTTCGTGTCCCTTTGCATAGGTTTCTCCTCCTGTATTCATAAGAGCTAGTACCAAAGCATTGAACTTAAAGGTCCCATAATTTTTCTTCAAGTAAAGGCACTCCATAATGAGGGAAAAAATGACATAAAGACAAACTAGATTATTTGATCAGAAAACTCCAATTAAAGGCCCTGATTTTATAGATTTTGTCAACGGCACTAGTTAATGCTTTATTTTCCTTTCTTTAATTAGAAAACCAATGATGACATACAAGTTTCCAGCTCAGACCTAACAGGCTAACACTACCAAAATCCCACACATATCAAATTCAACTACTGTTTACCTCAACTGAATTTCCGTTTGCCTTTCTTTCTCATCTTCTCTTACCTTGTTTTTTGTCCTCATTAAACATAAAACTATTCCTTCTTTTTCAGGAATTATAGTGGTTCCCAGACAAAGTTACTGGCACGTTGACAGAACAGAACAAACTTAAAAATTCCAATCATCAGTTGATAAGCTGCGAGCAATCCTAAACTTTTAAGTGAAAACCACAGCCAAAAGCCATCCATAAGCTATCAAGACCATGCTGTTTAGTCCCTTGATTCTCACACAATGTGCCGATCTGTCTGTGTGTTTTTCAGTTTTGTGCACGTCAATCCACGATAATAAACTATGAAAAAAAATGTAATCCTGTTCGAAACACATTCACGATCAACGGCAGTGATTGTGACCCCAAAGCACTCATTTATGAACAGATAAAGCTTATGCTCCAATTTCACATTTGCAATGTTGAATTCACAATAATACTTAACTAAAAAGCTTAAAACCCCACTTAACTATGTTCAAAATAAATAAAATAAAAAAACTCATCAAATGAAAATTGAAAATTACAGTTCTACTTAGCTCCCTCGGCACCAAAACAGAAGGTTCTACAGAAGAAAATTCAAAACTCCACAGATTACAATAATGAGGCAATCAATCACAAACCAACTAAATCCACAATCTAATTACAATGTCAGGTAATCCAACACGCAACGCAACAGAAAAACAACAAAAAAAACAAAAATTGAAACTCGAATGCGAAACCCTTGGGCTAACAATCGCATCAATCTAGAGTTTTTTGATCGGAAAAATATAGAAAAATTCACCTCGAGTATCTGAAGGCCGAGGGATTCGGATACGCCGGTGATGCTCATGAGGGTGTCGATTGCTTCTTGATTAGGTCTCGCCATTTTCACAAGACCAGGAATTTGCAGAGAGAGAGAGAGAGAGAGACGTGAAATGTAAAGGTGTTGTCGAACTGTGTATCTATGTGTGTGTGTGTGTGTGTGTGTGTGTGTTTGTGTGTTTTCTGAGCTGGAAATTTATATGGAAGAGATATTTGTAGATGGTGATGAAGTGTGTGTGTGATTTGGTCAGGGTTGTCTTGTGGCCTAAGCAGCTTAAAGTTATCAAGGTTCTCTCACCCTTCTATATTTTTGTGGTAAGATAGTTTCCCCCTTACGTGAAGAGGTTGATTCTTCTAGGTCCCCTTTTTTTTTTCTTTTTCTTTTTTTTTAAAGTAAAAAATAGAAACAAAAAATTGATTAGTTTATACTAGTATTAATAAATAAATATACCTAGTGGGTTGTAGTGATTTATGGATGAATGTAGTGATTGATGTCCGATAGTAAAAGTAATTGAACGCATGAAATAACTGATGCTCAAAGTGAAAGTGGTTGAATGGATGTAGTAGTCGATACCTGACAGTAAAAGTAGTTGAACAGACGTAGTGGCTAACATCCGATAGTGGTATTGGTCGAAGGTGGTCATCATAATTGGTTGTTGGAGTTATGGAAGGTGTGGAGGCCACGAATAGTGACCAACCAGTTGCCAAAAGTGATCTATGTTTGTCGATATGTTGGTTAAAACAATACTTAAAACAAAGGGTAAATTACACTAACAGTTCCTATAGTTTGGGACTCGCGTCACTTTGGTCCATAACTTTTCAATTGTGACACATTTGATTCTGAATTTTGAATCTTGTTTCAAATAAGGACAATTGAAGATATCATTATTTAATTTCAAGGGTAAAATTATCAATTTAATAAAATATAAATTAATTTGACAAAAATAATGTCAAAAAAATATTTTTATCCACCAATGATAAAATTATGTAAAATTGATAAAAATTAATTTTACATGATCATTATCCAAACACATAATAAAACTAATTTGGTAAAAAAATAAATAAATATCTAAAAGATTTATCAATTTTACATAATTTTATTTTTAGTAGGTAGAAATAATTTTTTAAAATTCAAAAATATATGCTTGACATTTATTTTTGTCAAATTAGTTTATATTTTATCAAATTGACGATTTTATCCTTGAAAAATCTAATGATATTTTCAATTGTCTGTATTTGAAACAAGATTCAAAATTCAGGGTCAAATGTGTCACAATTGAAAAGTCATGAACCAAAGTGACACAAGTCCCAAATTATAAGGACTATTAGTGCAATTCACCCTAAAACAAATGTTTTAGCCAAAAGTGAGGGCATTTTTCATACTCAAATGATTAAGGTCCGCAATGTTTAGTTACAGCAATAAATGGTGGCTAGAGATGGTAAGAGAGGGAGGAGAGAGTGAAAATTGTTTTGAAAGTAAGTAAAAACACTTTTTTTGTTTTCATTTTTGAAATTTTCATACATTTTCAAGTTAAAAATTGTTTATTTATCACACTTACAAAATGAGATAATTTTTTATTGTTAGTATACAAGATATCATTTATAATAGTGTAGAAGAATTTTTTATACAGAAACACTCATTCTTATGAATTGTATATAGTTTAAAATTTTTGCACCTGTAAGCCTTTTATTATGCTAAATGTCATTCGGTTGGTTGTCCTTCAATCTTTCATTTACTAATTTTTAAATGGTTGTGATGGTGTGACTTTCACATTTTTAGTATAGTAATATTAAAATTTATTGACTCATGTTTATAGTTGTCATAATAGGGGGCAAAAATAATACATGATAGAGATATTACATTGACATTAAAAATGCATTTTCATTGTGAACTTTTTTTTAATTTGTTATTGTCTACAATTTGAGATGAAGTTTGCATAATTGTGGGAATTGATTCGAAAACTCTCACCTACTTCATGTAAAATGTGACACATAGATACTTTGCTTATTCAATTAATGATTGCAAAACCAACTTGTTAGATATTCTAAAATGTAAATTATTCTATACCCCTGGAGAAGGAATAGGAATGCTACCTATCTTGCAAATGTTGGTTATTCTTTTAGCTATATGTTAGATGAAATGAAGAAAGTGAAGGAATAAGAATTTCACTACTAGAAATTTATTAATAAGCAAAAAAAAATTTTGGCATTTATATTCATCAAACTAGGTTATATTTATGAATAAAAAATATTATAATGCCTATTTTGATGATCAAATCAATAGAGTGCACACATTTTAAGAAACACTAGTTTTACACTAAACTAAAGCGTTTTGAAATTTTCAATTTTTTATTTCAATAAACACAAGAAATGAAAACAAGAAATATGAAAAAAAGAACCAAACATAGCATATGGATTTGAAATTTTGTCTTCATCCCATCTATTTTAAATTTGTTGAAAACTTTGCGCAAAAATCATGCCATTTATTTTGCATTCAATTAACTCCTAATTCTAACTAAAAGCAAAAGAAAAGAGAAAAAAAAGAAAAAAAGAAGATAAATTATACTTTATCCTTTTATATTTATTTATTGGCCTTTAAAATTTTGATTTTAGTTTAACCTTTTATGTTTCATGTTTCATGTTTCAAGTTTTTTTTTTTTTTGGTAATTGAATCTTAAAATTAAATTTTATTTAAAATTAGATAAAAAATATCACATTAATTGTCACATGACACAAAAATATATAATTATATTAGAATTTAAATTTGTGTCAGAAATTTGAGTTATATATAATAAAATAATTTAAAGGCCACATTGTTGTTAATATGTCAATCTTTTGTTTGATTTTAAACATAAGTTAATTTTTCAAATAAATAAAAAAATCTTAAAATACGAAAATTCAAAATGTTAATAATAAAAAAACATTTAAGAGCAAAGTAAAAAGGGAAATTTTTTTTAAGGTCCCTAATAATAGTAATTTAGAGGATAGAGGACACTAAAAAAATGGATTATGCATCAAGTCCCTCAACTAGAACGCGCGCATTTTTAATTTTTTCTTGGACCAAAATACCCTTCACAAATCAACTGAGAACATTCCACTGGATTCCAACGACTCGGTTCCATTCCAAACATCCAACCATCTTCACGAGCAAGAGAACATGAGAATTAGGGTTTCACAATCATCTTTACTATCGACATTACAATTTCATTATCTTCTACCAAAATCTTTTTCATTCCTTCCTCACAAATTTCTCTGACCCGTTTTCACTATTCATCATCATCTCAATTCATCTTCGTCTCATTGCATCTCCATGTTAGGGCATATCAGTTCATAATTAGGGTTTCATCGTCACTCTGGTAAGTTTTCTACAATCCAATGAATTTTTCTCTGAAAACACAGTGAATTACATATTATATTAACCTTCCATTAATTAGGGTTTCAATTTCGTAATAAAAAACTATATGAATTTGAAAAATGTTATTTCTCTAAGTTTTGAACTTATTCATGAAGATGTTTGTGTAATTTTGTCTGTAAATTTCTCTAGTATTGACTTGATCTATGTTTCTTCTTTGAATTTTCTCTGGCATGTTTATTCTCCCATTTGTTTCTGTTTATTCCCCCATTTTCTCTGGCATGGTTAATTTCTCGGTATTTCTCTATGTAATTTTCAAATTCAATTCATTCAAATTTCTCTACTCTATAAATTTCTCTGGCTTGCCATGTTTAATTTTCTCTGGTATGTGTAATTTTCTCTGTCATTTTCATTTTCTGTACTTGTCAGATTTATGTTTTTTTCTTGAATTTTCTCTAGCTATATTTTACATCTATATGTAATTTTACTCTCTTGCATGTGTCTATATTTCTTTGGCATTTATAATTTTCTCTGGCCACATCACTTTTCTCTTTTGTGTGTGTCTATCATGTTTAATTTTCTTTGGTTGTCTGTAAATTTCTTTGGCATTTTCATATTATGGAATGGAAATTTTCTCTGACTTTTCATGTTTAATTTTCTCTGGCATGTGTCATTTTCATTTTATGTGCTTGTTAAATTTATGTTTCTTTCTTGAATTTTCTCTAACTATATTTTACATCTATATGTAATTTTACTCTCTTGTCTGTGTCTATGTTTCTCTAGAATTTATAATTTTCTCTAGCCACATCACTTTTCTCCCTTGTGTGTGTTTGTCGTGTTTAATTTTCTCTAGTTGTCTGTAAATTTCTTTGGCATTATGGAATGGAAATTTTCTCTGGCTTACCATGTTTAATTTTCTCTAGCATGTGTAATTTTTTCTAGTGTGTTTATTTTGTTTAATTCTTGGTTTCTTTGTTCTGTAAGTTTATGTGGCATGTTTACGTTGTTTTGTTTATTTTATCTTACTAATTGTGAAATGGAAATTTTCTTTGGCTTGCCATGTTTATTAGTACTTTTTTATTTAATTTTCAGTGTCTAATCTAACATTTATAATTTTCTCTGGCCACTTTAATTTTCTCCCTTACATGTAATTTTCTCTGACATGTTCAATTTTCTCTAGTATGTTTAATTTTCTCTGAGATTTAATGTTGACATCTTTAGGTTTTCATTGTCTGGAAATGGTGAATCGTAAAAATAACAAAATACCAAAAACACCAAGAAAGAAACAAAAAATCTCTCAGTCTTCTTATGATCTTAGATAAAAAAGTAACAAAACACCACAAACTCCTCACCAAAAAATAGAAGTCCTAGGTGATGAAGCAACAAGCATCAAGATGAATGCCCCAACTTCAAAAGGCTCAAGCTCAACGAGGAAAAAACTTATTAAACTCTAAAGAAAAAGAGCTCATTACATCATTCAATACCGATCCAACCGCTCATCTGCTGTCTCCTTTTTTCAAACACTTAAATTCAATTCAAAGCAGCTTGAAAAGCTTCAAAAGACTCCATTCTGGTATTTGATCCAAGCTCTAACCATTGCAAAGATGGATCCAAGGAAGTTTAGGAAATCTGATGATGATGTAGTTGCAATAATCCAACGTTACAACGAAAAAACGAAAGCATTCACAGTTGGTAAAAAGAACTTGACCTTTACAACCAATGACATGACCTTGATTTTTGGTTTGGAAGGCGATAAAGGAGCCATGTCATTAAAATACTCAAAAAAGCCAAACACTGCATTCCTAAGGCGAAGATTCTCAAAAGACACAAAGCTCACTGGTCCTGTTCTTAAGATGCCTTGGTCAAAGCAATGAAAGGCAAGCAACCAACTAATTTTAAAGATGTAATAATCATTGTTACCTTGTACTTGTGTCTCCCCTTATGTTTGCAACT